ATACTAAGAGGAAAGTTCATAGCATTAAGTGCCCACATGAAGAAACTGGAGAATAGTCACACTAGAGAATTACCAGAACAACTGAAAGCTTTAGGGCAAAAAGGAGCAAACTCACCACCGAGGAGTAGATACCAGGAAATAATCAAACTGAGGGCTTAAATTAGTAAAGTAGAAACTAGGAAAACATTACAAAGAATCAATGAAATAAAGAGTTGGTTGTTTGAGAAGATCAACAGTAGCCCTACTACACATCAACAATAAGAGGCTGAGAAAAAAATCAGAGAAACATCACCCTCTGAGTCTTCAAAGAAAGAAATTAACAAAGATACCAGAAAATGGAAAGATCTCCCATTATCTTGGATAGGTAGGATCAACATAGTAAAATTGGCAATCTTGCCAAAAGCAATCTCCAGATTCAACACAATCCCCATCAAAACCCCAGCACAATTCTTCACAGACCTTGAAAGAAAAATACTCAACTTTATATGGAGAAACAAAAGACACAGGATAGCCAAAACAACCTGTACAATAGGGGAAATTCCTGAGACATTACCATCCCTGAGTTCAAGCTCTTTATAGACCTTTGGTACTATACACAGCCTGATATTGGCACAAAAATAGGCAGGTAGACCAATGGAATTGGGTTGAAAACCCTGATACTAACCCACATACCTACAAACACCTGATTTTTGACAAAGAAGATAAAGATATACAATGGAAAAAGGTGAGCATCTTCAGCAAATGGTGTTATCATAACTCTATTCTGGCATGTAGAAGACTTTGGAAAGATCCATGTCTGTCACCTTGCACAAAACTTAAGTCCCAATGGATGAAAGACCTCAACATAATTCCAACCACACTGAACCTCTTAGAAGAGAAATTAGTAGATACCCTTGAACGAATTTGTACAGGAGAGTGCTTCCTGACTACAACAACAGTAGCTCAGACATTGAGATCTACCATTAATAAAATGGACCTCCTGAAAGTGAGAAGCTTCTGTAAGGCAAAGGACACAGTCTGGAAGACAAAACCACAGCCCACAGAATGGGAAAATATCTTCACCAAACCCACATCTGACAGAGGCCTGATTTCCAAAATATACAATGAACTCAACAAGTTAGAGACCATAACAGCAATCAATGAAATTAAAAAGTGGGGCACAGAACTAAACATATAATTCTCAACAGAGGAATCTAAAATGGCTGAAAAAATTTAAGAAAGTGCTCAAAATCCTTAGCCATCAGAGAAATGTAACTCAAAACAAATCTGAGATACCATCTTACACTGGCCAGAATGGTTAAAATTAAAAACATCAATGACAATGTATGTTGGTGAGGATGTGGAGGAAATGGTACACTCCTCCATTGCTGGTGGGAGTGCAAACTTATAAGACCACTTTGGAAATAAGTATTGTGGTTGCTCAAGAAAATGGCAATCAGTCTACCTCAAGATTCAGGAATTACTCTCTTGGCCATATACCCAAATTATGCGTGTTTATACAACAAGGACATATGTTCAACCATGTTCATAGCAGCATTGTTTGTAATAGCAGAACTTGAAAGCCATCTAGATGCCCTTCATCTGAAGAATGGATAGAGAAAATGTGGTGCATTTATACAATGGAGTACTACTCAGCAGAAAAAAGCAACAGAATCTTGAAATTCACAGGCTAATGGTTGGAACTAGAAGAAACCATCCTGTGTGAGGTAATCCTGTCACAAAAATACAAACATAGTATGTACTAACTCACATATTAATTTCAGACATAGAGCAAAGGATTAGCAGCCTACAATCCTCTTCACCAAAGGAATTTGGAACAAGAAGGACTCTAAAAGAAAATTGCATGGGCTCCTGAGGATGAGAAAGGGCAGGATCTCTTGAGCTAATTGGAAACATGAGTGTAGGGTAGAGGGAGCTGCCAGAACGTGAGGAGGAGAAGAGGAGGGGATAGGAGGAAATGGAGGAGCTGAAAGTTTGAATAGGGGGAAGGATAGAGGAGAGCAGGATGAGAGATATAACAGAGGGAGCCATTATAGGTCTGAGGAGAGATCTGGCACTAGGGAGATTTCCAGAGATCTACAAGGATGATACCAACTGACAATCTAGGCAATGGCGGAGAGGCTACCTTAAATGCCCTTCTCCTATAATGATACTGATAACTACTTTATATGCCATCCTAGAGCCCTCATCCATTGGCTGATGGAATCAGAGGCAGGCACCCATATCTATACACTAAACTGAACTCTGGAATGCAGTTACAGATATGGAGGAATGAAGATCAAAGGGGTTGGACTTGGCTGGTGAATCCCACATAAACATCTGGCCTGAACAAGGGGGAACACATGGACCCCAGACAGATCACTGGGACATCAGCATGCAACTGATGTGGACCCCAAGAATGTGGGTGTTATTTAGGAGGCCTTGGAAATCTGTGGGGCCTCTTGGAGTAGAACAGTACTTATTCCTAGCATCGGAATGAACTCTGGGAGCCCATTTCACATAGAAGGGTATTCCATCAGCCTAGACACATGGAGGAGGACCTATGCCCTTTCCCAAAGGATATGACAGACTCTGAAGACAACCCCAATAGAATAACTCACTCTCCCTTGGGAGTAGAAATGGTATGACAAGGGTAGGGTGTTAGTGGAGGGGCAGGGGAGGTAAGGAGAGATTGGGAACTGCCATTGATATGTAAAACAATCCTTTTAATTTAAATAAAAATGGAGTGAAAATGGAAAAGAGAAAAGAATGAGGATCTGGGGGCACATCACCAATAATTGAGGCCTCATCCTTCCCAAATGATAGATTTAATGAAGTCATGTCCAAGCATCTATTGTAAAATGAGAGTCTGTGAGAAACACAGAAATAATCATGTATATCATGATTTCTTAATTTAGGATGCAATACATATATGAATTTTTTTACTGAGTGACAGTAATCAGTGTTGCACTATCTGTTTTTCTAATCTTGATTAATTACCAAGCATGGGGTCTACCCTAATGCTTTCTCAGTTTGTAGTGATGCTTGCAGATGGTTGCTTTGCCTCAGTATTGCTTTGTTAGAGCCTATTGTGGGGAAATCTCTAAGTGGATGTTCTCTGTGAGTGCTACTCAGAGATCTGATTTCCTGACAGATCATACTTTCCTTGCAAAATTTTTCAGTAGTGATGTCCTTGAGGATTGTTCCAAATTTATTTATATGTCCTGGGTTCTCTCTTCCTCTCTGCCCATTGTTGAATACTGGATGAACTATGAGATGTTTATACCTTATTTTGTGTAGTTAGTTATATGACTAGTGAGCAGCACTTATCTATGAAGCATCGTGGTACATCTTGCCAATGATTGAAGATAGAATCATGAATACTACTAAGTGATCTCCTTAGGAAACCAAGCATTTACTGCTTATGTTTTCACCACATTCATTCCACCATTGATCATAGCAGTATCCAGATAATTCATTCACTTCTATTTTAAATCAAAGGCAATAAACAAGCAATTCAGTTTTCTTTTGTTTTGTATCCTACATGACTGTGGATATCCAAATTTTACGAACTTACTTGTGGAATTTTGTAGAGTTCCAAAAGGGTTCCAATTGCAGCAGAAAATTCAGGCCTGATTCCCGCAATGATTCCAAGAGCTTTGTGTTGAGTTTTGCATTTGTAGTTAGGAATAAACTCACTCCTTTCAGATAGCCACATCAGAGGGCCCTCTAAAGTTCTGCGGTGAGAGTGAAAGGCATTGTAGAGGTGGAATCCCAAGGTTACATTGGGAAGCAGATGGGCATCCTTATTGATCTCTTCAATGGCAAAGTATAAAGTCAGCAAATATTGGTAGTTTTTCCATTTCTCCCTAAACAGCAGGGGCAGAATGATGAGCACACTTAGGGCATTATTGTCAGAAACTCGTAACAAATTTGGGATATTAGAGGATTTGAAGCCCTGACCTCTTTACTGACATGTAAGACTAGTGTGAGTGAGCCCCTGGCAGCTAAAGAACATCATGGAATGGCTCAGGAACCCTCAGAGTTTGACTTATACTTCAGTATTGGTTTCTGGAAGTGCATAGTGTGGATTGAAGTGCCAGGTGTCTGTGTGCTATGGTTGCTGAGAACATGGTGCTTATGGTGCTTATGCTACCACTGAGTAGCATCGAACAATGAGATAAGGAAGAGTCAATTATGTTTTCTCTAGAATGTGAAGAAGAACTTCATAAACTTTTATTTTGTATTGAAACGATCTTGTACTCAAATTCTATTTTATATTGGAATTACAAACAAGATTGACTTACATGACAATCCCAGTTTCCTTCTCCCTCTTTTACTCTACAACACTGCCTCTCCAAGCTAAAAACCCTACCTATCACATATCCTTTCTTCTAAACTACACCTGACTTAACATTCTGCTCCTTCATGACCTCTGCATCCTTCCTTTTCTTCCCTTCTCATTCTCGTAGCTCACTCTCCCCTCTCTTCCTATGTTCTCAATTTGCTCAGGGGATGGTGACCCTTTGTCCTTCACCAGGGTACAGAGTTTGTCTCTTTTAGGGTCCTCCTTGTTGACTAGTTTCTCTGGCAGTGTGGATTGTAGGCTGGCAATTGCTGACTCCATGTCTAAAATCCACATATGAGTGAACACATATCATGTTTGTCTTTTTGTGACTGGGTTACCTCGCTCAGAATGGTTTCTTAGAGTTCCATCCATTTTCCTGCCAATTTCAGGATTCCATCACTTCTTTCCGCTGAGTAGTACTCCATTGTGTAAATGCACCACATTTTCTCTAACCATTTGTCAGTTGAGGGGTGTCTAGGCTGCTTCCAGTTTGTGGGTATTACAAATATTGTTGCTATGAACATGGTTGAACAGATACCCTTGTTGTATGAATGTGCTTCTTTTGTGTATATGCCTAGGAGTGTAATTGCTGGATCTTATTGTAGACTGATTCCCATTTTCTTGAGGAGCTGACATACTGATTTCCAAAGTGGCTGTACAAGTTGACAACCGACCACCAGTGGAGAAGTGTTCTCCTTTCTCCACATCCTCTCCAGCATAAACTGTCATTTGTGTTTTTGATTTTAGCCATTCTGACAGGAGTGAGATGGTATCTCAGTGTTCTTTTGATTTGCATTTCCCTAATGGCTAAAGATGTTGAACACTTTCTTATGTGTCTTTCAGCCATTTTATATTCCTCTATTGAGAATTGTGTATTTATTTCTGTACCCCAATTTTTAATTGGATTGTTTGGTGTGTTGGAGACTAGCTTCTTGAGTTCTTTGTATATTTTGGAGATCAGCCCTCTGTCAGATGTGGGGTTGGTGAATATCTTTTCCCAGTCTGAGGGCTGCTGTGTTGTTTTGTTGACTATGTCCCTTGCCTTACAGAAGCTTTTCAGTTTCAGGAGGTCCCATTTATTAATTTTTGACCTCCGTGCCTGTTATACTGGTATAGTGTCCAAGAAGCGTCCTGTACCAATTAATTCAAGTGTCCTGTACCAATTAATTCAAGGTATTTCACACTTTATCTTCTAATAGATTCAGTGTGGCTTGGTTTATGTGGAGGCCTATGATCCATTTTGACTTAACTTTTGTGCAGGGTGAATGGCTTGGGTCTATCTGTAGTGTTCTACATGTTTGCATCCAGTTATGCCAGCACCATTTGTTGACGATGTTCTGTTTGTTCCAGCGTATATATTTGGACTCTTTGTCAAAATCAGGTGTTCGTATATACTCAAATTTAATTGTCTAATACTTTTGTTTGCCTATCACCGAGTGCTAATGTTTATCTATGGGAGATGGACAGATGGCTAAGCAGCTAGTGACTCTGATTCCTTTTGTAAAAATCCATGGAAACAATTCCCAGTGCCTACTTGGAGACTCAGAACCATCTGTATTTCTAGGCAAGAAATCCTCTTCTAAAGTATGTGGGAACCAGGTACAAATGTGGCCAACACACTTACAGAGGAAGGTAAGCACTCAAACATATGACATAAAATAAATAAACCATTTTGAAAAGTGTTTCTGTGACTTGAGAAATGACTGAGAGGTTAAGCCTACTTGCAGCTCTTGGGTCATATTTGATTCAGGTCACAACAGCCTCTCTTTGTGTTACTATAGTGTGCAGCACAGTTTTAGGGTGGAACCCACATCCTCCTTTGGCCTCTGCAGGCACCAGGCACAGAAACATATTGGCAAAGTAATTACAGACATAAAATTTTTAAAAAATTAATAAAATTTAAAAAATAGTAAACAATAAGAAGATCTTTTATTTCAAGATTACAGATTAAAAGAGTGAGCAGAGTTTCCTGTGTAACACAGTGAAAGAATCAAAGTAAGTAAAAACAGAACACATAAAGAGGAAACTCTCCTGAATCCACGAGGCAGAAAAAGAGTGCTTAAAATGAGAGGAAAGGAAACTTTGCAAGAAGGTGTATGGGCTCAGCTTTCTCACTCATGGCATTTTTTGGTTGGGGAGGGGTCACAGGAGGTACTTTCAAAACCCGGAGTAGATGAGAGCCTGGCTAACCCCACTAGAGACAATAAGAGAACTCATGGGTCTCAAGTCTACTGTGTTCTGTTGAAGCAGAGATTCTACCTAGAGACCTGTAGGCAGCAGGAATAAATGCCTTTGGCTACACTGTGTTTCATGAGGTCTATGGCTAGATGACATATTAAGAGAGCATCTGTTGTTCAAAAACTGGCAATTAGCAACCATTGAGGGAGGGAGAAATTAGTCTTCCTTTGGGATTATCCAATACCAAGTGTTCAACAATATAAGTGGACATGTATATAGACTTATACATGTGTTTATATGTGTACATATGTATCAATGCATGTATGTATATAAATACATACTTGTGTAGCAATATGTACATTGCATAAATTCATATATTTGTATAAAATATGTGTATGCATGTAAACATGTCTATCTTTTCATATATATATATGGCTATAAATGCATACATGAATACAAATGCTTACACATGAATGTATAAACATGCATATGAATGCATAGATACATAATGTTATGTATGAATTAAATGCATACAGGTGTATATATACATATATATAAATGTAAACACACATATAATGCATCATGTATATAATTACATTCATCTATATAATTTTACATATGTGTATAAATGAATGCGTATGAATAAATGTGTACCTCTATATAAATGCATACATGAGAACTCCTGGAAAGAGTCATTTGTGGAGACTGGCTCTTTAGAACTCAGTTGTGTGGAAAGGTTGGACTGTTGCAGGTCTAGAAATTCATTACCTTATTCCAGGCTGACTGTAGAAGCTTAAAAAACCATTTCTTGGACACCTCTTCAAGTGAGGTAGTCAGTCTCTTATAACCAAATCTAGTAACTTATCAGAGCACTGGCTTCCAACAACCTAAAAGCTAAGAATAGCATCAGATGTTATCTTGGGCCTTTCCTATTTTGCCAGGGACCTCTTCTCTGATATTTCTAACAATTTATTTGAGTTACAGCTTTCTTTATATTGTACTATGAGATCATCATGAAATTACATCCCCAAGGGAACATTGAATCTTGGATCACCTAAGTCTGTGTTCATTGGCCATGATCACTCAAATTTGTCTCCAGAATAAATTCCCTCTTTTTCAATTTGAGATGGGGCTGTGAATTTTCCAATGACACAAAGCAATACTGAACACTAAACAATTGATTCAGTGGGTTATATTTGTACCTTTGTTTATATATGTGTGTGTGAATATTTCCTCATTACAATATATTATAAACGAATGAATTTGGGAAGGAGCAAGGCTGGGGGGACAGGATATAGTTGGAAGTAGGATAAGAAAGAGGAAATTATAGAATTAGCTTTTAAATGTGGGACATAGGGGAGGGGATATGATCAAAACCTATTGTGCGTAATTTTCAAGTAAACAAGAAAAAATAATAATATAAAAACTTAAATAGACAAAAATTTTTAAAGATTGACCAATATAACACATTGAAATTATGAAGACTCCACAGGGTATTTGTACTGTATTGAATGTTCCTCAAGAAGTTCTGAGTGATAGAACATAACATGGATTTTAGAGAGCAGGATAATTATGCATCAGAGGGATCCGGTGGCAGGTTAGCTCTCTAGGAAGGACATAAGAAAGACCGCCCATACCTAGAAATACACAAAAAGGCTTCATTCCAGAGCATTATCTTGGAGTTTGAATGAAACCTCTGAGCCTTAGTCCATGGGGTTGTTAATAGTATAGAATTATGAATCTGTTGAACATTGCAGGGAGTCCAAGACTGTGAGGTTCCTGTGTTCTGCCTGAGAGCCACACACCAGCCCCCATGCCTGGTGATTAATACCTAACAGATTTTCCATTGCCAGTGTGTGTACTGTTCCCATGCTAATATGGCTTTCCATTCTCAAGACACAGTGGAGAATCCCTCCAGCTTAATAACAACAAGAGCTGTAAGTTCTGGGGTGGCCCCAGACAGTGAAATAATCTAGCCAACCACCAGAATTTATGGATCAATGTAGCTTCAGGTCTTTGATGTTCAAAAGAGGAAAATGGCTCCTATGAACACAAGCTGGTGGACATCAGACACTAATCCAATAAAGACTCAGGAACATCAGCCTAAAAAAGACAGGAGTCCACACTGTCAGCCAACCTCCCTCCATATGTCCAGCTGGAAGTCTGCAATTACTGACGATAGGTATATTTCTTTCTGATTAAAATTTAATTCACTACATCTAGCAGAGTATGTATATTTTCATTATTTTCTAATGTCTTACATGCCTAAAATATAGTTTCATCAAATCTGCACCTCAACCATATCATCCAATTTGGATGCCAGCAGGTAGGAATATGGTTTCC